GGATCACACGTTTATTTCTTCAACCCCATTATGCGTCCCACTGCAGTGCAAGGGTCTCCTTAAAGGAAGGGTTTAGGCCCAATTTATATTGCGGCGGAACGAAATAGAAGCCAATTTTTGTAACATAGCATAATTAACTTTGTTATAGTATAATGCCCGAGAATTCCGCGGAAGATTTTGGCTCGTATCTAATTTGTACGTTACAAAATTGCTCATAAAGTTCATTATGCTATGTTACAAAAATTCGTTTCCACTCTACGGCCTTAGTCCACTACCTTAGTTTTATTTATTCATATTGTTTTGCAGTGCTCTTACAGGGTCCATAAATGATTATTTACTTTTTTATTTAATTTTATTCCGAACAACAACAGCTCAATAAACAACGATCTACAATGAATATTTTTAGCTAAAGCTAGTTAGCGCCAGTTACAGTCGTCTATGTTCTCATTTTCATGTAACTAAATTATCAAAGTCAAAGTCAAAGATTATTTATTCCATAGGTAAAATAAATTTACACTTGAAATCGTCACATTTACGCTACTGCTCGTTCACTACGCTGACCTCCCTGAGAAGAACGAGCAAGAAACTCTAGGGATTGCTCTTTTCAAATAAACTTAAATGCTATGGAATACACTTTGAATCAAATTTGTGTGGATTCTGGAGCCATGTCGTCTTTCCATACATCTTTATCTAACACGTAGTCTTCAATTTTGTAATATGATTTTTCGATCAAAATATTTTTAGTGTAGTTTTTAAACTTAGGAAATGATAAACTTAATATATGCTCCGGAATTTTATTGTAAAAACGTATACAGTTCCCCATAAAAGAGTTGTTTACCTTGGTTAAACGAAATCGTGATACCATGAGTTTGGACTTGCTCTAAGGTTAATATTATGGATTATATCATATATATGGTTAATATCATAAAATTTAATACATCAAAACAGGAAAAAAAAACATAAAAGTACCGACAATAGGTTTTGAAGGGCAAAGGTTCTTGTGAAATTACAAGCACATGAGACTTGTCAACGTATGTCCCAGCGTAACGGGCGTAATCACTGCCCCTAAATCTTTACGATTTAAAGCCTTGAGTATCACTATATCATATCAACAAGAAAGAAAGAAAACTGGTTATTCTACAAAAACTGTTATGGGTAGGCATATTGTTTACTACCAAACGAACAACTTGTTCCTCCCGTTGTCGCTTGGTGTCATAAAAAATATCCTTGTCCCATGCGGGGTGGGTCCTCACACCGATGTACAGGTTCCATTACGATGTTTTCTTTCAGAGAGGGGTGCTACTACTAAACATTAGCGGGCTTTACACAGAACTCTATCGCTCGTGATACAGCAATTGAGCGCGCATGTAAAGACGTTGGAAGGAAAAGTGAAAGACCGCACGCGCTCACCAGTCACGCGCGCAATTGCGCACTCCAACACGCGCCAGTTTCACGCGGACTATCCTGCTCTTTTAGCATTTACACAGATGCTCTTTCTGTTGTAACAAAAACGAACATGAGTAATCACGCGCGAAAGAACGTTGGCTTAAAAAATCAAACAGGTAATCGCGGACGATTGCGCGTGCAGGCTTTCCCGCGCGCAATCCAGCAGCTTGATTTTGATTGCCTCTCCCGATCGGAAACTGCGTTTTTTCCGAGTCGAGGCGCATAATTGCGATTCACAACTTGCCTATCGGAAACTTTTGACATTTCAAATCGGAACAATAGTTGATTTAACTCACAAATTAGAAAGATATAGTTTATTTATTTATTTATTTATTGTATTTGGGTTAACAACAGTACACATTTAGTATAGATTAACAATTTATAAAAATACAATTTTTGAGATACCAATAATAGCTAACCACATATTACAAATAGGTACTTTCTTGCAAATTAAAATTAAATTAAATTTAGATCAAGAGTGCTTGCGTGATGTAATAATACAATAAATACAAGTTAGTATATATTGTACATATAACTACATATTTATACACAAACCTACATATACATACCTAGTAGGAATCATGTTCATCTTCTCGCTCGGAAACCCATTTGATTTCGAGACTACCCGATCGGTTCCATTCCGAATTGTATCAAAATCAGCATGCTGCGGTCTTAGTGTAAGTTTTCAAATATGTGAACTTAACTATGGTTTTCGCGTTAAAATTTTTATTTAAACTAATAAACGTGTAATTAAGATCTAAATAAAAATGCGCAAACGCGGTAGTTAAGTTTGAATTAGTACAAATTTACACTCAGGCCTCAGTACGCTCCTGATCACGCGCAATAGAGTGACTGTGTAAAACTATTCACTGCAAACATTAGAAATTGAAGTCATATGTACATGCCGCCACAAGGATTCAACTTTCAATCTCTTAATTGAGAAGCAACCGCTCTCCCACTAACCTACTACCGTCTGACATATTTAAAGAGATGACTATAATATAATATATATAAGTTACAGACCGTAACTGCATGGTAACTACAGTACTGTTTTTAGCAATTACATTGTTAAGTTGTCAAAGAACATTTAGAAACATACATGACGTCTTCCAATAAATGACAAACATCTGTGTTTAGTATATAAATATTTACTCCACGTACTCCTGTTTTGATAGCCTAGGTCATACTTTAAATATATTTCTTAATCACATGTAGATATACATGATGTATGAAATGTAAGTATTTTTCGGATGTAAATCGCGTATATCTGTTTCGCGACCGTTTCAGGTCCCATGGTCCCAGTTGACCGTGAACATGGGATCTTTAACCAACCTTCTAAGTCGTCGTGTGCTTCAAAATATGCGTAATATTATGCGAAGTAATTCAGATCCAGAGTACAATATTATTCCCTGAAAATACCGCATTCAAATTTAGCACTATATTCTGTATGACCATAGATATCTAGATAAATTCGTTTTTCATACAAAAGTAAGGTACTTAACGCGTATACACTCATAGTCCCGTATACTAGAGAAAACCCTGTATCGCAGGTGCCATGTGCACACACATAGACAACCACAAATTACAACCAAACTCACGAGAGAGAAATAAATGTAGGCCATACAAATAGTTCTCCCGGCCCGGGAGACGAACCCGGGACCTCAGCGTGGCAGTTCAGCATGATAACCGTTCGGCCACGGAGGCAGTTGCTGGGGCCTATTTGTATTTAGAAAATTATTGGGCATTGGGCGTTTAGTGCTTCTCCCATTGTAGTTCGCTGGGTTCTAGGAGGTTCAAGGGCCTGAAACATTGGCTTGTTTAAAACGCGATTTTTATCCGAAAAAATAGTTTCATTTCCAGTATGTAACAATTTGTGAAAACCTAAGAATTCGATATTAATAAGTTATAAGCAGAATATAGAACATCGAACGTTTCTTTAAGCGTTTTACCAATTCCTAACATTTATCAACAGAAGAGGATCAGTGTCTCCAGTGCCAGGACCAACGGGTAGCCTCCCAAGACCTGGCACCAAGCAGGTGACGGTGACTGTGCACGAGACGGTCGTTGAGCCTGCGCAGTCGCAGCTGCAGCCGCCTATATCGGTGCCTGTGCGCCACCACCACCATGCCTCCAGCGCCACTAAGGAACTTGATGATCTAATGGCCTCGCTCTCCGACTTCAAAGTGAGTTTACAAACTTTTGTCAGCTTTATGTATTGATATGTTTATTAAACCCAACTGCTAGGCCTTGAATCTTGACTGACTAACACAACTGTCACTCCTAACCTACTTTCTATACTGGCCATTACGCGGTTGCATCCAGAAAGCGTGATATAATGTAAACCAGCCAAGGTCACACATATACATGTACATGCCAAAGCACACTTGACCTGATAACGTCGTTTTAAAACGGGACAGACTGTTTTATTCCTCTGTTTACAATTCCAGCCTATTTTAACCAGATTTTCATTCATAAACTTGTACTTGCTTGAATAAACTTTTGTTTGTAATCGTCCGAATGTTTTCATTGGATTGTACGATTTTTAGATTTCTCCGTTATAAATTATATTGGGAGTGAGTCAGCGACAACTTAAGGTCCAATATCGAGCGGTTACAGTCATGGCCGCCTCGGCACACTGCACTACGCTTTTCCGTTTATTATAATATTTACAAGTCTCCTTTCTTGGTCCACGGCTATTTCCAGCCGCGGCAGCAGGCGTCACTCCAGCAATATCGCCGTCCCGCTTGCACTCATAGATCTTCTCATAGCTAAAGATAGTCGCGAGCGTTACATCACAGGCGTGGTGGGGCCGCGAGCTTATAATATTAGAGTACATAGTCAAACATTTCACTCGGACCGCATTCGCTCCAGTCCATCAAGACCGGACGGTTTCCTTTCGTACGTTCCGCGGAGCGCAAACTTCGCGATCTTTTACTTATGTTAATCATCAACTTTTAAATCAAAGATCTTGTTGGCTATTCTTTCGCCTTGTCTCATCTGCTGTTAGCACTACACAATTGAATTAAACAATTGAAAGATGTTAGCAGCAACGGGGATAAGGTTTTAAATGACAATGTTATCATCCTCAGGTAAGCGGCACAGGCGGCGAGGGCGGAACCCACGTGTATCGCGAGAAGCGCGCGTGGCAAGAGCACTACCGCAGCAGTCCGCGGCAGGCCGAACCCGCCTCTCTTGAGCATATGCTCGGATCTCTCCGAGCAGACATGAGCCGCCAAGGAGTCCAGACCCCCCAGAAGGGATGCTGCAACGCCTGCGAGAAGCCCATCGTCGGACAGGTGCACTACGCAACCTCACAGGATCCCACTTGGATTTCACGAAACAACACCTTCAATACTAGTGAAAACCGAGTCAATCCTTATTTAGTGCAGTTGAAGTGTCCCCGAAACAGTGACGACATGAAAGTGTTATGTGCAGGTCATCACCGCGTTGGGCCAGACATGGCATCCGGAGCACTTCACCTGCGCACATTGCAACCAGGAGCTCGGTACAAGGAATTTCTTCGAGCGCGACGGCAGGCCATACTGCGAGCCTGACTATCACAACCTGTTCTCTCCCCGATGCGCCTACTGCAACGGACCTATCTTGGATGTCAGTGCCTAATCTGTTGGACATTATTCTTATCGAATTTTACGGTGCTGAAGTTTAGTCTCTTTTCAGAAATGCGTAACTGCGTTGGAGAAGACCTGGCACACGGAGCACTTCTTCTGCGCTCAATGCGGCCAACAGTTCGGAGAGGACGGGTTCCATGAAAGGGACGGCAAACCATACTGCCGCGCGGACTATTTCGATATGTTCGCGCCCAAGTGCGGTGGCTGCAATAAACCCATCATGGAAAACTACATCTCCGCGCTCAATACGCAATGGCATCCAGATTGCTTCGTCTGCAAGGTTTGTATTTTGGTCTTTAAGCTCTCGTGGATGATCTTCAACACTGGAAAAGGTTTGGTATATGTTCTTTATTGTTCACCAAGCAAGGGTAATGCAATTGTGCCAGGTTAAGTATACAAAGTTTCCTAAGTGCTCAAATCTCGTTTGGACATTTAGGAAAGAAATGTTAAATAGATTTTTCGATCACACAGGACTGCCAAAACCCCGTCAAAGGCAAATCCTTCTATGCCATGGAAGGGAAACCGGTATGCCCCAAATGCGTCGGAGTCGATGAAGATGAATAAAGGATGTCTACAATATGTCCCCTTCAAAGTGGATGCCCTCCCCTTTTTTTTACAGCTATGCTCACAACAGCAACATCTTTAGGAACGAATGCTGAACATAACACACGTGCATGTTCCTCAACACACAAAAAACATACTCACGTCTACCTAGAGTAGCGTACTCGTTAGGTCATAATGATGTAATTTATTTTTGTAAGATTTATTGTAAACTTAAGACTTATAAAATAAAGAGAACAAAAATAAAACAAAAAAAGAAAGAATAACAAACAAAAATAATAAAAAAAGCAATAAAATATGAACACAACAAAAAGACGAAAATGTTCGATGCGGAAGCAACACACGCGTGCTGTCCGCGACTGATGTGCTGTCTGTCAAGGCCGCGTGCGTACGCGCATGGCAATGACCTTTTATCAATTCATTGTTTCTCTGCACCGGAAGGATGTGTGGTAAAAAATGTAAGGAATTGCAAATGGGGTCAAGTGCTGACCGGATAGGGTTTCCCGCGAGACCTGAGGCGGGCAAAAATAGTCGCACGTGACGTCATAGCGCGTCTGCAGCCACACAGGCTGCCGTAAATCAGCCCGCTTGTTTACGAGACATCCAATCAAATGTATTTTTGTTGCGCTACAATTATGTCGTTGTCAACCGGCAATTGAAGTGTTTACTTTCTAGTAAAGAAATATATATAAATGTGTATTGTGTTCACATCACGCGACTGTATTGGCGCATGACAGCATCAGACATGAACATTAGAAAATCGCGACATAACACGCTCGTGATAATAAATTTTAATAAAAATTATAGTATTTAACCCAGTGTTTATCTATTATATACATATGTATATAAATATGAATTTGTGTTCTGTTCATCCGATTACGATCAAACGTATTAGAAACGTTTTAATATGTCAGTTGTTTCTAAAGCCCAAAAGGCGGTTCATCTGCAAAGGCATTCCCAAAATAAAACATTTTTTTTCTCTCACTGGCATTGCAACGCAGGTTCCGCTAATGTTCCATAAATAAAGATATCCAAGAACATTATGACACTTGCGTATAAGTAACGTCTAAATTGAAGATTTATGTTCTTATATTATACAACAAATTCGAAACAAAGTCGAAGTTTGCTGGTAAAAATAGCGATTAACTAAAAATAAACGTATATTAATTATCTTTTGCTTACAGTTCTTGCGAGACAAAACACGTTGTTATGACGAACGGGCAGGTTAATGGCGAAACGCCAACGAGCAAAATGGAAAACATTTTTCAAATATTTTTTTTTAAATAGACAACGACAAACAAAGATTTCACTACAATCTCACCTGACGATTAGCTAGGATGTAGCGTCGTTTATTAGTTTATCTAAAATGCGTACCAATATACACACTTCCGGACACATATATCGGAGCCACCTTGTATTTTATGCAATTTTGAAACTGGTATTCTAAACGTCCTCTCTCATGCCTCATTGGCACCATACCCAGCCAGAGTAGTTGATTGGTTTGCTGTTAATAACCTACTTCTTAATGAGAAAAAAACAAATTGTATGATATTTACATTACCCAATGTTAGAGAGACGGTTACAAACATTGTAGTTAGAAACGAAAAATTGAATCTTGTGGATACAGTTGTATTTCTAGGTATAACGTTAGATGCTAAATTGCAATGGGGTCCCCATATAAGTAAGTTGTCAAAACGGCTCAGCTCTGCAGTGTACGCGATTAAAAAATAAGGAAACTTTCAGACGTCGAAACCGCTAGATTGGTTTACTTCAGCTACTTTCACAGTCTAATGACATACGGCATTTTGCTTTGGGGTAATGCCGCCGATATCAATAGAATCTTTGTCCTGCAGAAACGTGCAGTTAGGGCAATTTACAATCTGGGCCCCAAAGTATCTTTGAGAGATAAGTTTAAGGAAATTAACATTCTTACACTAGCGTCACAATACATTTATGAAAATATAATTTATGTTAAAAGGAATAGTAATTTCTTTATGAAAAATAGTGACAGACATAACATTAATACGAGGAATAAAAATAAACTAGCTTTTCTTGATAGTCGTCTTCACAAAGTCAAACAATCATTTAAGGGGCAATGTATACGCTTCTATAACAAGATTCCGGTTGATATACAAAATTTGCCTTTCACGAGGTTTAAAACTATAGTGAAACAAAAACTTTATACTAAAGGTTATTATACAACTTCTGCGTACTTGGATGACAAAAATCCGTGGTAGTAACCCGTTTAGCTCATGGAGGTAGTCTCAATCTGATGTTTCAAATAAAAAAATATTGTAAATGTTATTTACAAAGAGCAACCCCTAGAGTTTCTTGCTCATTCTTCTCAGGGGAATCTGCCTTACGAATGAGCGGTAGAGTTTAACCATTGTGACGATTTCAAGTGTAATAATGCTTACCTATGAAATAAAGATTATTTTGAATTTGAATTTGAATTAGAGTAAATCTGACCCGGACAAGCCAAGCAAGGGTATATATAACAGGGAGCACGGTTTAAAGGAGTGACACCCTCGGGATTGTGGAGGGGAAGACCGACCAACCGCAACCGAGATTTCTGCCGGCTATGCAGCGTGTGACAGAAAGTAGGTAGTAGGGGTGCTTAGTTATTTGGGTAGGTGGTTAGGTAGTGTTGTTAGGAATGAACGTTGATGGTGTTCGGCTTCGTGCTGCGCCGTAGTGGTTCATCTTGGGTGAGGTTGTGTTCTCGTCCATAGAACTCGAGTTGTGTCATTTATTTCCACTTTACATGCGGTGTCGATTTCCGGGATTCTGTATATTTCTTTAACTACATGCCTAAATTTATCCTTATCTGTGGATAATTTTATCCAAAAGTCATGTTGAAAATGTAAATGAGTAAAAGCGGGGCAATTGTTTATTCGATGATAGCAATATTTTTGTATTCTAGCAATTTAAAAATAAAAATACAAGGTAGCCTCAATTATGTGTCCGGGAGTATATAATTGTTATTACAAATTTACATTTATAACAAACTATCACTCCCGACTGCCTCCGTGTTTACCATGCCGAACTGCCACACAGAGGCCCCAGGTTCGATTCCCGGGCCGGGAGAAATATTTGTATGGCCTACATCTATTTATCTCGTGAGTTTGGTTGTAATTTGTGGTTGTCTAAGTGTGTGTCCATGGCACGCGCGATACAGGGTTTCCCTAGTTAGTAGGCTTAGTAGTTAGTAGTTAGTAGGCTATTAAAAAAATGTCATAACCGAGTTTTGCCAAATTTTTTTAGAAAAATGTACACATCTTTTTAACACTTCACGTCTTGAGTTGTGACTCGTGTTCATCATTGTGTCAATATAATGTAAAGTGTTTTTTAACGGGACAGTATGAGGAAATCCGAAACCATAGAAGATACAAGGAAACTGTCGTAGGAACCATCAAGTCTTTTTTTGTAAAAACAATTTTGGCATAGTAAATATTTTGGTTAAGCGTGAGTTGTCCACAAAAATAAATAAAACTTACCAGTAATTTTTTTTGGTGCCAAACGACTCAGTTTTCTCGACGAAAAAGTCAGGACACCAGAATATGGTGTAATTTCATAATATGTTTTTCTTACAAAATTAGTAAAATTCACTATTTTTTAAAGCTGATTGACTCGGTTTCCTATTACGATGATTTTATTGTATGGGGCGAAAAAACTCGGGACAGTAGAAGTTGGTCAAATTTAATAATTAGTATTATAATACATTTTCAAGAACTATTACAATAGATCAATAATAACGCATTCATACCCCGCACTAAACAAACCCTGTATCGCGAGTGCCATAGTCATACACAGATTACACACAAACTCACAAGATAAATACATGTATACACTTCCCGATAACACTATTATATATAGGTAACACTGTATAACACTGTTTTTTAATAATTTATAAGACTGTTTTTCTCACCATAATATAGAAAGTAGTGTACTACGCAGGATGTCAAGTACAATAATACATAACAACGATAATATTTTACTGTGGGAGACAGGTGCCTGAACCAGACATAATGTGATCTGAAATACAGACCATTTCAGATCGCCAGGCCTTCACTCCTCGGAAAATATTGCAATTTTCTTAAAAATTATGTACTCGAACAATGGCAATTGCAATAAGTTAGGTACTAAAGTTTACAAAAATTAAACCGTCAAATCACCAGTAGGACATCACTTTTGGTTGTTGTGGGGCTTTTTTGTAAATACAAACTATCCACTGGGGCAGGCCGAGACTGTATACCTCCATAATATACACATATAACGTATAATACGACAAAAACTTTATTTATAATACGTATTGTTAAATTTACAATGCACCTTCCCTACTTCGAAATATTATTGTTTATAATTATATTTTTTTAACAATATGACATTGATAATATGAAATAAGTTATTCAATGCTAAATTGTCATTTTTCTTTTACAGGAATGCCGCGAACCCTTCCACGGCGGTTCGTTCTTCGAACACGAAGGGCAGCCTTACTGCGAGACGCACTACCACGGCAAGAGAGGCTCCCTCTGCGCTGGCTGCCACAAGCCCATCGCCGGCCGATGCATCACCGCCATGTTCCGGAAGTTCCACCCCGAACACTTCGTCTGCGCTTTCTGCCTACGACAACTTAACAAAGGCACTTTTAAAGAGCAAAATGACAAGCCTTATTGCCACACTTGCTTTGAAAAACTGTTTGGCTAAACTCGATAAAGAAACGTTTTCTTGGTGGTTTCATAAGCGATTGTATAATGGACATTTCAGTCTTTAACATTATAATTTGAGGATGTAAGTGGGTGACATTTATTTAATACGAAAGAGCAAAAGAGTGTTGTGCAAAGAACACAAGTTAAGTGACTCTTTCATGTTACTAAATAGTTGGCTAAACTAGTAACCTGATGAAGCCACATGGGACTTGTGAACTCATGTCTCAGGATGACGGGTGCAGTGACATTACCCCTCAGATCTTTGCGATTTAAATTGTTGATAGGCCTGTCGCTTACCACCAGGCGCACGACTTGTTCGTCCCGATGATTGGAATGATAAAAAAAAGTGTTAGGAATGAATTCCCAACACTGACCGAAACATACTAGTTCCCCTTGTCCGATCTAAATAGTTCACAGGTTTTTCTAGTTCAGTGGGAACTAGGAACTGTCTGCGTTGTGAAGCCTAAAACGCAATGTGATCTTGTTAGTTCACCTATTGTTTACATCAGCAGGAACTGTTTTTGTGCTTTTTAGTACAAGTTCGAGACAGAGATGTACGACAACGTTGCCAGCTCGTTTACGTCTCTAATACGTGACACTCAACGACGCAGTTGTATTTGTCAGGTTAATTAAATTGTAATGATTTCATACAAAATGTATACATTTTTTTAATATTTGGTAAAGTGTTACGATTGACCTAATATTACTAAGTCCGAAGTAGTTCATGTGAATAAAAGTAGTAGTTTGAACCGTTCGTTCAATGTCCGAGCGAACTAAAAGAACTAGAAGACCGATTTAGCTCAAATGACCGACCCCTTTTGCTCAATCCAATTGAATATGTGTCACCAAGTTACGAAGACAAAAGGGGAAAAGACGTGGTTGTCCATTGTTTCAGATTTTTATGTATTTTTGTAGTAATTTCAAAAAACTTTACAATTCAAATGGGAAAGAATCTCTCTCTCATTGCCCAGAAACATGAGCAAAATACAGAACGTCGTATAACAACAATGTTTCTTTCCCTCTTTAGTCCTTATCTCTTCTCTGGAAAGGCAAAAAAGCAAAAGCGCCGCGAGAAAGTGGTAATTTGTCAGATTACTAAAGGACCAAAAATCGCTACTTTGATCGATGCGAAACTTGGACAGATTGATGCAGAAACCTTTAACCCTAACACCTATAACGTAAAACTCAAACCTATGTATTATAATACATATGATTCATTTTTGCTTAGACTTGTGTTTTAGGCTGTTTCGCCTTTCCATTGACGATATTGTATTAGGGTGTAGTCACACGAGCTCACTTCCACTGCAACAGCAAAATAACAGACCGCCTGCTGCCCACACGACTGCACTAGCAATCGATAGCTCATGTGTCTATGCATTAAGTTTATTATGTTATATGTAATGTAAAGGCTCAAAGCCTAAAGCTGTTGCACAAAATGCAGCTTACAATTTTACGAATTCACGTTTTAATGTACATGCTTTTAGAACTCTCTTTTGTACCATCAAATAAAGAATACGTTAGGCCTACCGACTACAATTAAAAGTAATTATGATTGCAAATTAATAAATAAAACTACAGTTGAAGGCGAAGCGAATTTTCAAACACGCGATCAAGAACGATTACATGAACAACTATAGTCTCTGTTTACTGTCTTTTTTGAAGACAGAGTAAAATGACATTCGTAGGATTGCCAGTTTTCATAAAATTTTAAATAGTTATGTAGTTGTTGTCGATAGTTTTATCGATAGATTGTGAAACTAGATAAAATATTGCCAAAAATGACTGAATTGTGAATATTATGACGTTCTAATGATGACTAATTGCGTTATTGCCTTCTTTATTCTTATTGTGACAGTTGGCCTACTAGCACTGAAATCAATTTTTGTTCATATACATTTTAACAAGAATAGCCGGATTTGATTATCCATATTAAATTAAAATAAAAAAATTAATTTATGTCTCCTCTTTGTAATTTTTATAATCATAGTCTAAATACAGTGTTTGTATGTACGAACTTACAAAAATTGCCAATTCAAATGAGCTTGTATGTTCTTTATTTACACGAATAATGAGTCGATGATGATTCAAATGAAACAAATTCGGCTACTTATTCCATAAGCATGACCGATATTCAGTCGATAGTCGATAGAATATTTATCGACCGCAATCACTAGCTGTTTGCAAGCGGGCAACACTTACGCATAATGAACTGTCATTTTACTCCATCTTCAAAAAAGATAGACTATAATCTCTAGTTGAATGCTTACAGTTTCTATAGTATCATGAGTAATGATCAAAGTTCGTAATAAGCAAAGTATTATTTACCTTCAAGAATACATATATAGTGGGATGTCCCCCTCTGAAATCGCGGAATGATTATATTGCAGAACAAAAGATCTACATACATAAGATGTAAAAAAAAAATTACTCATTAATTACTTTACTGCGATAAAGTCTTTCTTCTTATTTAAGAGCTAGACCTTTACCAGTGGAGTCATCGGCATCCATCACTGTTCAGCGCCTAACTTTGATTTCCTGATCCGACATGACATAATTTTTTTTTCTTATCTGATACAATTAACTTCGTCTCGGTCTTCCTTTCCCTGTCTTCCCTTCTATAATGCTTTTAAGAAAACTCTCCTAACATTTCAGATGACCAAACATCTTTCCCCGTGGCTTTAAAAGCTTTTCTTTACTGCACTATTCTTAACACCTCTTCATTGATTTATTTTTCCGTTCAACTGATTCCCTCCATTCTTATACAGTGTATTTAGAGGAAAAATTTTATTTGTATACAAAAATATAACCATTTTAATTTGATTTTTTTTGTTTTTTATTTTTATACGTTGCGTGGTTTCAGAGGGTGGTATTATCCTCTATGTGTGTATTCTGTCTCCTGGCGATGAGTTTCAGAGCGACAATATTATATTTATGTCGGTTATCCTAAACTTTGATATCCTCCTTACTTATGAAAAATTCCTTCAGTTTGACTGAACTTGAACCAGTGTCTGTTGCCATGCCGGGTCCACACAACTGAGCTAGCGAAGAACTGAGAAGCTAAAGCGGTGGTCATTAGCAACAGATACTGATTCGTGTCCAGCCAAATCGAAGGAATTTTTCTTTGTATTCGATTTTTGTATCAATAACAAACTAGGGGTATTTTAACGAAACAATATAAAAAATTATGGTATAAAATTAAAAAAAATATATAAAACATATTATATATTCAATCAATAAATTGATAAAGTTGTATTGTATTAATCGACGCCTTAATTTCAGACAATTAAAAAATGTAATAAAATCGACTTTCACCAGTTGCAAATTCCTTCCTTGCGCTGATATTTTGGAAAAATAATAAAACGTTACACCATTGTAACGGTCGTATTCCCGAACTTTACTCAATGCTCAAGTCAGGACTTGAGTATGATTTAAAGCAATAGAAATCATACTCAAGTCCTGACTCGAGCATTGAGTGGAATTCTGGAATACAACCCTAAGAAGCCCATGCTTAAGTGATGATGATAATAGTTTATTGTAAATAACCACGAGTCTTTAAACCTAAAATGAAATTTCTGTCCAACTGTAACGTAAGAGAGACGAAATTAAGTTTAAAATTGCGTGAAACACGAATCAATAAAAATAATAACCGTGTTTGCTTTATTACTTGGAAATAAAACCCACTTCTTATTACGTAATGTCCGTACTGCAATTAAACGAATTTCGCGGTCTTCAATAATGTTCTATACCGTTATAACTTATATAATTCATCGCATTTTATATTTGTAATTTAAAAATATATCTATTTATTATTGTACTTGCCATTTTAAGCATGAAAAATGGGTGCATTAAATATTAAAAATGCATTAAAACAAGCCAATAAAGAGAAACTGTCTATTAGATACAAAGTCAATATATTTGTTTTGTTTTTAAGAATTCATATTAGAACTACATAATTACGTGGAAATATTATATATGATGTTTAGAAAAAATAGTTTTGTATTAAATGATAAAAAACGCAAAAGTGTTGTCTTAATTAAACAGTATAATTGTAATGTAAACATTACATTTTTCAAGAAAAGTCATTATATCGTGAATTACAATAATAAAGAGTACAAAATAAACGTTAACAAATTCGCAATATCGTCATATATGTGAAGCACCTTGTAAGGTCAATAATTCAATCATAAGGTCAAGAATTCACTTCTAAGGTCAATAATTCACTAAAATACCTATATTTTTCGTGTAGGAAAAGTAGACTCTTGTCTATTGTCTAATTCGTGTATGTGATCTACTAATTAGGTAGGTAATAGTGTTTGTACTAAAAATTAGTGCGAATTATCTAAAAAGTGATTGTCAAACGAAAACGTTACGTAGATTTTAGTCATTAAGATTGTGAAACTTTAACATAAAATTACGCTTCTGTTGCTTACATACCAACACTAAGGCTCAATTTATATAGCGGGGGCACGGAATGGAAGCGATTTTTTCTAAAGATATTGTGCATAGCGTAATAATTAACTTTATGAACAATTATGTAACGTACAAACTAGAAGGGCAGGAACATCGACGAAATACTACATTCATACAAGGGTACTGTTGCGGTCGCTGAATGCCCGAGCATTTCCGCGACAACGCGCGCCTTCTTAGATTAGAAATTGGCGAGGCGAAATTGACGCTTCCGTTCCGCCGCAATATAAATTGAGCCTCATTCAACTGATCTAGAATAATCTTTGACTAATTTAATGAATGGGACATCCCCTTTTTTTATCTATTCGCATCCCTCCCTACAGATTGCACGATTATTTTTCCTACACGGGCAAATTAGCATGTTTTTTTCATTAACATTCTTTGAATTCAGAATAAAAATTCCTTTAATTGACGTATTTACATACAATACAATAAGAAAAACCGAATAAAAACAAATATGTCAAATAGGTCTTTATGCTAGTAGAACTCTACTACAAATAACACAATTCTTAATATTCTGCCATAGACTGTAACTGTAACGATTAGGAAAACACTACAAATAAGCAAACTTCTGAGCAAAACAACAATTAAAATACCTTTAATGTTCAAAAACAACATGACACATATTAAAGGAAAACTGCATGCCAGCATTGTTTCTTAAACAGCGGGATTTCATCACTAATGGTAGGATTGCTTTCTTGTTTCGTAAGTGTGAAATGTATGCAACGGAAACGCCCCATAGCTATGTAGAATAATGAATTACAACGCAATTTTACATTATGTATCTGTATTTTAATATGTACGCTTTATATATTCTGTTTGTGACTCAACTTACTTATTTAAGTTTCTTATCTTCCATTAGTGTAAAAATAATTCGATATGTACAGTTATTAGCTACGTTAGGTACAAGTTATGTATATTTCTAGTACTTCCAATTTGCGTTATCGCCTAGGTCGTTATGTTCAAGTGCCAAATCGGGCAGTTATAGCGGTTATTTACGAGGTACCTAGTTAAACTGTTATGTTTTTGAAAACGGCGTTGTTGGTTGTAGTATTCTAGGTATGCGTTGGAGTTATTTCGTGAGCGGCCCCCCCTCCCCCCCAAATCTTCTGCTTAGTTAGCTTGGTAACAATGTCAAGCGTTACTTTAACCGTGAAATCAGCGATGGTAGCTACCTATAGCTATTTATGTAATGCGTAAATTGATAAGGATCATGATTTTATTGAATCTGTAATATTTTAACAAATATATTTAATGTTTTTCTACAGGTTGTTTTAATTTATTTAATTATTAAAGAAACAATTTCTTGACACAGAACACTGTTTATTTACAGCACTTATTTGTACATCCCTATTATTTTCACTTAACATTAATAAATTAAAAACTTATTAGATAAACAATAATTACAAACATTACAATTGATCAACTTACAAATAAATTAAAAATAAAACAATGGTTATCAATTAAACATTTAAACTTATACAAACTAATCAGTCTTTGGAGGAAAATCTACAGAAGAATGCCCTAGAGCTAAATTCAGGTTAGTCCAGGAAATAGTTCTGAAAATGACTCACACCAAAAATCTGAGAAGTCCATCGAGTCTGACTCACTGAGTGGCGACGCTAAGGACTCATAGCCGAGGTCCGAACTAAGGCTAGTGTGTGTTGGAGATACTGCAAGTAAATTCTCCTCCATAGACTTGGGTGATAAACTCATTGGCGATAGCAGTTTCATGTCACATTCCAATGTTATCCCCGAGCAGTTCTCTGTCAGTGTGCCGAAGTCCGTATCAACTTTGATGGTCGGTACTGGAGCTACTTCATCAGGAGATTGGTCCTCGCATGGGACCTCGATGGTGACGCAGTCGTTCGCGTCGTCGAAACTCGCGTAGAAAATGTCTCCTTTGTCATTGTTTTCTTCCTTTATTTGTACTGTATTGTTTGGCTCTGATACAATGTTTGGGGTGTAGGGATGCGCATATGAGTGCTGTGACAGTATCCTGTCCACATCATGCTTCAGGTCTATGACAGCACCTTCACTGGATTCCAGGTGCTTTGCTGCGGTCCCCACCACTTGAGCTCCTTCAGAGCACTTTCCAGACTCCCTGACTGAGACCTGCAACAAACACTATGGTAAACATCATGGCACAAACAAAGCGTGACTCATCATCACATTTCACAACGATTTAAATATTTTAGAGATTGCATCAGATAACGACGTCATCATTTAATTAAAACAATGGCACACTCATAGAATACCATAATTTAGAAAAATGATGCAAGAATAAGCTTTATTTTGAATTTGAAGTGGCATCAGTTGCCCTAACCATGCGGCGTGTGCGTGTGCGTGCGCGCCTGCCAGATTGCACGCCGGCACGCTGGTTTATCAATCACAATACATTTCATTTAAATGTAGGTTATCATGTTTCAAAACATACATGTTTCCTAATGGCGATCCATATAAAGATGCATATTGCACATATGCAATTTTTCAATTAAAGGTGCAACTTACATTTTCAGTCTCTCCTGTAGAACTTGCATCAATTTCTTGGAGGAGGGACTCTGCAAGTTGATGGAGGGTGTCGAGGTATTCTTCAGAGTCGAGGTGGGCGAGGAGGTCTGTGAGAGGAAGCACATCGCTAGAAGCAGGCGTGCCGCGCGGAGCGCCGTCGGGGACCCCCCCTTCTGCTGAGGAGTAGACTCTGCTGGTACTTGGGTCCCCGCGACGTTCCGCGCCGCCGCCTCGCTGCGGAGCGTTGTGTTTTCGCTCAACAGCCTCTCGTTCAAAGCCTTCAAACTGGCTACCTCATTTGTGAGACGCTCATTCGCATCCATCAACTTCTGTATATTACTCTCCATCTCGTCCATTCTTGCTTTCTTCCTGTCTCGAGATGTCTGTGCAGCCACGCGATTCTTCAGCTTCCTGTTCAAAGAGAAATAAAATACATTAGCACATTGTTCTGCTTTGCTTCTGCTTGGTAAACAGTATCCACATGCCTACATACAAAATACATTCCATTCAAATAGGTATGCGGATGTTGTGTCATGGATTTAATCGAGTAGATAAGAAAATAATGAGCGCTTTTGAAATGATAATCAATAACATAGGTCACGTCACGGTGCATGATGCAACCAGGTGCTTAGTAACAACAGTAAATTTGGTAATTTAACGCAAATGTTTTCATGCACGAAAGCACGATTAATTATTATTGTTCGTCGATTTCGTTCTTCCAAGAGCTCAGCAAATTAGTTTCCTTTATCCGTGACTCAAAAACCATTAAAGCTTGATCTCTGATCGCAAATCCAGCCTTAGGGCGGAAAATATGCGACACGCAAGCAAACTACACTTACTTTCTTTGCATCTTTTCTTCCCATGAGAGGTGGTCAAGCCTGCGCTTCCTGGAGGGCGGCGCGGCTACGTCCACCACCACTTTGGAGTCCTCCTCCATCGCCAAGTAGTTGTTGGGAACAGTGATGATTATCGGGGTGCTCATTTTGTTTGATTTCATCGACAATAAATCAAAAACACTTTCCACACACCACTACAACTTTTTCTATTATCTTGATGATGTCATGCTAGCCGCATTAGATTTTTCTTGACCATTAGTGCACTTTTCTGCGATCCAACTTAGCTTGCGGATAGAAACTTGCGATGAACATGTTCGATCGACCGCACGTCAAGTTGTGACATTTTGTACGTTCTCGAAAACTCTGATGTGGTGCCACGCCGTTGGTGGAAAGGTAATGAGTGGGCGTGGACCTTTACTTACGATCAGATTTTAGAAAGAGACATAGATATAAAATGTTGCACGCATGAGTGAGATGTGCGATGTGAAACTTAACAAATAAGTGATGGGTGAATGAGATGGAGAAACGTGCCATGAAATAACTTACGAAGTAGGAAGGAGATGCAATACATGCATGAGGATTAGCCTTTGGCTATTAGATACAATTGTGATACAATAGATAAGGCCTGTCTACATGGCCAAGCTTCACCGCGCGTAAAATAAAATTATGCAAGTCACATACGCATTAGAATACGTATATTGGCTTCACGTTGGCTTTTAATTTAAAAAAATACGTCGTAACAATTTCAACGCTTCAGCTCATGTTCTTTTCAATCTACATTGACTGAAAAACAATACAAATAAACTTTAAATTACTAAACCAATTTCCAGAAAAATCTGGAAAACGTGTTTGATCGAGTCATGATATTAGTGGTTTGTGGTCATGATCATGACATGTCCATATTAATACCACAAAACGAAATTAAACAAAAATACAACATATTCTATAACTGTAACATTGTTTTATTTTTCAATTGGTGCCAAAACGACAACAAAAAAATTAATTAAGTCAACAAAAAATACCTATATACATAGTTGCATCAATTCATTCCTTACAGGGTAGCTTTCTTTTGAAGACTACTGATTTTTGCTACATAACTGACAAAAAATGCTGAACAATCTTATATTTTATGTAATACACACCTAAATTTATAGGTGGCTACGAAATATAGTTTCTATAAATTTAAATCTGTTAATTATAATTACAACATTTATAAGAAATTGTAGTAAGAATGTGGAAAATTTTCCATTTTGGAAAAGTCATATTTTTCAGAAAAAGAAACATTTTTTCGGATATTTTTCCAGTACTTTTCCTATATTTTTCCTCATTTGACGTTGACACCTATCAACGGTTGCAGTTACTGAACGAAAACAATGCTATCCTAACCTTTTTTTTTCGCTGTTGTCCAATAGGAATGAGTAATATAGCTTTTTCTGAATATATATCGTATGGAAACTATATACCAATATTCGAAATCGAATTTCGAAACTATATATTATTGAATATAGTTTTATAAGAGCAATGCGAGCCAATGTTAGTATACAGTTTCGAAGACGCACAAAAATGGTTTCGCGTTGATATCCACTCAGTGAATATCTGATACGAAGCAATATCGATGTTTATTTTGGAAAATATATGATTTCGTGTTGGTATCCACTCGGTAATTCACCTTATATAAAACTTCAAAAGATATTTCTATGGTTTTGACAACAGATATCGCACTCTTCTTTATATTTGTTTCAAAATTGCGTTATATTAATAATTTATCTCCAAACGCTACATTTATGTGTCATTCGTATACGATTTAATTTCAAAATGACAGGACAACACTGTCGCTTTGAAATTAAGTAGATAATATTAATATAACATATAGCAATTTTTAAATAATACTATGATAATCTTCTTCTTTTAAATGTTATGGCTCCATCGAAATAATCAATGATTTTGTCAATGTCAAGTACAAATAACTATGTACTGTAGTTTAATATTATTATAAAAATTGTAAAAATTGTCATGTGCTATATGTGCTTGTCATCTTTCTGTGTGACATTTATTTATTCACTCAATTTCATTCATTCAATATTTCATTCATTTCCTAGCCGCCATTGATTATATTGTTTGGCACTTGGCACTATTTGGTTATTTTTGAAGTGAACTTGGAGAATCTCCTAAAAGTAATTTAAAATTCTAGAATGGCTTCTACAAGCGCTGACTCTCAAGCCACCATTGCCCAGAAAACATGGGTAATGGCCAACAATATGGAAACGGTTCTGAGTGTGGATGAAATATATCGCTACGACAAAAAACAACAACAAGATATTCTAGCAGCAAAACCATGGGAAAAGGAGTAAGATACGTTTGAATTTTAATCTTAAGGTATCAACGTGAAATAGGAATATTGTAGCAATCTAAACTTTTCTTCATAACTCTACCGTCAATTGAAAAATAACATATTGAATTTATGAGTCGTAATTTAACACAACTACTTCATTATTTTTCAGCCCTCATTTTTTCAAAGACATCAAGATCTCAGCTCTGGCATTACTCAAAATGGTAATGCATGCCCGTTCTGGTGGCACTTTGGAAGTTATGGGTCTGCTTTTAGGTAAATAGTGTTCTTTTCATTTATTTCAATAAGGATTAAAGTAATAAACAGAGACCGAAGTAAGCTAAGTTTCTTTACTTACCTCTTTCGTTTCGAAACATACTTCTCTGCGAATACCCAGAATCTTCTAATTGTATTGATGCCATACACTATAGTCTTGTGGCCAAGAAATTGGCGTCATAAGTAGCCGCCATTAAATCCTCAAGCGTGCAGGCCAAGTTAGGGCATGAAGTAAGGTGGGCCGTCATTTGAATGCCTCCCCAGTTGCCTGGAATAATTATATTTCATTTTGTTTATATTTTTGATGTGTAATTAGCTGATTACTTAACTATGGTGATGTATTTAGAAGAAAATTTTCATAATTTTAAATAGAAATAGAATGCAAGGAATGAACATAAGGAAAAATTCCTTTAACAAGATGAAACTGTGTTTGTATGACACAACAGGGCCAACGCTCTCCAACTGAACTACAGATTGAGTCAGCAGACCTTACAAATTTTTCTGTGTTAGTTGTAGATCTTTTGTATTAGGTTTTTTTGGCTATTATCGCCATACTAGTTTAGCATACAGATATTTTTACTCCTTTTTTAATCTGCCATCGACTTGTAAATATCAGATAGGTTTTCTTAATAGCGATGAAAGGGAGTTGCTCCTGCAAGCATCGTAATGGCAGGAGGAGGTATTATCCGCACTATGTGTATTACTTTACTTGAAGTTCAAATCTCTAATTATTATACTTGTACAGTACCCATTAATTCTCTCAAGATGATCCTTCTAGAAAATCAACATGACTTTTATTTTTTTACCCAAAAAATTGGTAAGTCTAAAGCTGGATTTGTGCAGGTAAGGTGGATGCTAACACAATGATAGTGATGGACTCCTTTGCGCTACCTGTTGAAGGGACAGAGACTAGAGTCAATGCTCAGGCACAGGCTTATGAATACATGACAGCTTATATTGAGGCTGCTAAACAGGTGAACATTGTTTCCTTTATATTGCAGACTTTCATTTATGTTGTAGATATCTATTTGGTAATTAAGATAGCATTTACAATATTACTAAATTACTATTTAATAAAGCGCGAGTTTGAGTTATTAGACCATGGGAGATGACATTTGTATTAACAATTATACCTTATTTCATTCTCAAATTTTTTTTGTACTATAATTTTCTCTTTCTTTTTGCTTATACCTTATGGCAGTATTCCATAAATGGTTACACAGTGACTTTCTTTACTGTCATCTTTTTTCATCAAAAACATATAACAATAGCGAGTCTACTGAAGTAATGAATTAAAAGTTTACCTTAACTAGTTAACATATCAAGGTTAGTTTTTGTAGTAATATTTTGCCAGTTTAAATAGTGATTCTCAATAATAACATGACAGTTTTCGTAAAGCTTTAATATTTGCAGCTTCGCTTGGATATGAGCTGTATATGAACTGTATATGAAACTTTCCAAAAAAAGTATAAGATTAGTAAGTGTGCCATTGATACTTTAGCAATTGAAAGAAATAAGTAGGTATATAAGCATTATGCAAGTAGGTATTATTATAATACTTTTAGAACCCCAGAGTGTTGATAGCTGACACAAAAATCTGCAGGGAAAATATCATAAAGCATGTATTATCTAAATTGTAATATCAACACTATCATTTTCAGGTAGGTCGACAGGAAAATGCCATAGGCTGGTACCACAGCCACCCTGGTTATGGCTGCTGGTTGTCCGGTATTGACGTGTCGACACAGATGCTTAACCAAAACTTCCAGGAGCCTTTTGTGGCCATTGTCATTGACCCTGTTAGAACTATATCTGCAGGCAAGGTGTGCTTGGGTGCTTTTAGAACTTATCCTAAGGTAAGTCTATTATGTATGAGTTTTTGTTCTAATTTTTTATTTGTTGTACCTGCCACATTAGTTGTAGCTGATATGCTCTACACATTCTACAAAACTTTCATTTAAAAATTTACTTTTGATGTTTATTTATATGCCTATAACAATGATATACTCTCCTTAATTTTCAGGGTTATAAACCAGCAAATGAAGAACCATCTGAGTATCAAACAATTCCACTAAACAAAATTGAGGACTTTGGAGTACACTGCAAGCAATATTACTCACTAGAAGTGTCATATTTCAAGTCTTCACTGGACCGCCGACTATTGGACTCACTGTGGAATAAATATTGGGTGAACACACTTAGTAGTTCCAGTTTGATCACCAATGCAGATTATACCACTGGACAGATCTTTGACTTGTCTGATAAGTTAGAACAAAGTGAAGTTTGTTTAGGTAAGTTTGTATCGTTGTCCACATACACGTTCTGATGCCTTATATAAAGAGAGAGCATAGTATTGAGGGGATTCTCGCTTGGAGTCATTCGTTGGGTCTGAGAGTGAATCCTATCAAGACTCAGAGTGTAATTATTGGCAGCCCAGGTTCATATCGCGCATCGATGGCTCATTGCCTTCCATCTTATTTGATGGTATTCAAATCCCTATACGGGATACAGTTAGGAACCTTGGGGTTACTTTTGATAAGAGCTTAACTTGGAAACCTCAGGTCGCAGAAGGATGTTTGGTGCTTCCATGTCACTTCAACGTCTGGGGAATTTTTTACCTTCTGCCTATTCTAGACTATGCAGATGCTTGTTATCCAGACTTGTCTGAGGGTCTATTCAATAAGCTGGAGCAGTTGCAGAACTTATGCATTAGATTCATTTTTGGGTTGCGTAAATTTGATCATGTTTCAGACTTTCGATCCAAACTTGGATGTTTACCCATTCGTCGTCGTAGGGACTTTCACATTTTATCCCTTCTATACTCTGTTCTCTTTAATCCCACCTCTCCTCCCTACCTCAAAGATTGTTTCGTGCACTACACTCAGTCGCATCTTACGGTCTTCTCCTAGTCTTTCCGAGTCCGTGTGCAATAAAGAATATTTGTATTGTATTGTATTATTGTATGAAAATAAATTTATATTTATATTAGTATTAGTTTAAGTTCTTGTGTTGAGAAATAAATAATCATTTCATTTCATTTCATTCATTTCAGGTCGTGGCGGTTTTATAGTAGCAGGAGCGGATCCTCACGAGAAAAGAACGGAAGACAAGCTAGGAAAAGCGACAAAAGACGCGTGCAAGACTACCATTGAAGTGATCCACGGTCTCATGGCGCAGATGATCAAAGATCGTTTATTCAACAGTGTTAGCGGAAGACCGGCGCCTGCCACACCCATGATTGAATAGGATATTATAGGCAGTGTAGTAATTTTTAATAATTTTAATGTAACTGTATGTAACTCTTTTATAAGCTATTAAATGATTCAAAAATATCGAAAATATTGTTTTTTTTCTCAGTTACGTTCTTGAAGATAATAGACATTATGTCACACTACCTACTAGGGTCTCAACATTTAGAGCGCTTTAAAACAATGCGCCGCCCACACCGCGAACGAAGCTAAACTAACTTAGCTCACGTAGGCGGGGCATCTTTTCATTCTTCGCTTTACACCGCGAACTAAGCTAACTAAACTAATTCTAAGGTTCCGCTAGCTATGTAAAATATGTCGCCCTTACTACGTAGTCACTACTTACTACGTATTTTCTTAACTTTGCATGCAGCTACCTTAGCTAAGTTAATAGCTTTGTTCGCGGAGTGGCCTGCGCTTAAGACGATTATAGAAGCGCCGCTAGTTATTAAGCTGTAAGGCCTGGATATAGCTGACGTCATATGTAGGTTTTCCTGACCGCCAATACATATCTACTAATATTTTCATACAATATCTAGAGGCGCCGCGCCACTGCAGTGGTTCTATAAGCGTCTTACATTGAAGGCGCCCATAGTTTCATTCTATGTACGTACTATGAATAAATAGAGCAAAGGAATTTACTCTAGAACATAACACCTACACCAGAACCAATTTAAAAAAGTTCATTCCCAAAACTGGGGTTACCACATCCAGCACCTATTGGGCAGACCGTTGGGCCACCAAAGTCGTGAGATGATATTAGGAGGAATAAAAACATGATATTGATTATATAAACATTCTCAAATATTTATTAACCAATTTACATAAATCATTTATGTACATACATCTTTCACATAGTTTTACATAAAATTATAACATGTCACGTGGAGGGCCTTCTATTTATAATCAGATACACATCAGATAACACAAGCACCAAATTGCGATATACTTTGCCAAGCTCTCTTCATATATTGGAAAGAAAATATTTTATATTAGACGCCATGATTACACGGAATGCAGTCGAAACGATATTCAAACTGGAGCACGTCTATTACCACAGGCCGTGAATTAAAATTTGCAGTAAATACCTAATAAATGTCTAATATATGGTGGTTAGTGCATAATCTATAACATAAATAGGACAAAAAAATACTAAGTATCTAAGTGTTAAAAATATCTCAGAATTTAATTAAAAGCGGGAGTAGACAGATTAGCATAATTTACATCTAATTTTCATTCTTAAATGAGATGTATTCTTAATTTATTTACACTTCTGCCGAATACAAAATTCTTGAAGGCTTAATTGAACAGTACTTAACTAAAGTGACATTACTGCCCATTATTGAATGAAGCAAGTAATAAATCCAACACGCAAATAACTACTCTTACCGCAAATGCATCGGAAATATTGTCTAACAAATGTAGTTACATCGAGAACCGACAATGCGATAATAAAATATTTGCTGCATTATATATATTCAATGAACAACTAAATATTTTTTACATCAAATTACCGAAGAATATTTACTATAATTTTCATATAATTTTATCACACGTAAATAATTATAATATGAATTCCGTTTATTTATATTTAATTAAGTACACATTTCATACAACCCCTTTTGCAATGTCTTACATGTTCTATGATAATCACGAATCTCAATTTGTAATAGGAATATTGTAATGAGAATATAGCAATTTTTAGTAACATTTTTTGTGTTATTGTAATGTTCAATTGATGTTTGTATAAAATTCTGTATTACATGGAAAATTATTTAAATTGTTCTACTATTTCGTTTCTTACACAGTGCCCTATGTTTTCTGACTAAAGGGTAGTCTTTCAATCTTACCTACAGTGGAATGTTAACTAACCTCTAAACGTGTTAACTAAAAAACTAGTACGTCTCCAACACGACATTGGTTGATGGCGATAAAAAAATAGAAATAAAGGAAAATATCTCGAAATAAAAAGTATGTTGAACATTGAATTTGCGGTTTTTGTTCAAATATTTTTAACAAAAACATACTGCTTATTTCTCGAAATTCAAAAGTATAGATTATTAATTAAGTAGAATATGATAACACCATGCGAGATGACGGGACACTAACGGAACACTGTATATACTGCATACCGAAGTAGAAAACTTAAACACGACTTGATATTAGATCCGATAAGTCTGTGTGGTATAATGATCAACCACAACTTTGGGAAAGACAATTAATAAAAAAAGTCAAAATAGTTCGTAATAAAAATGCATTCCGTCCTGTTCATTCCATATACATAATGATACATTCTTTTTATCTCTTTTCTAATTTACATATTCAGTATAGAAATATTTTCACAAACTTAAACGAAGTATAGAAAGTAATCATGAAAATCTAGAAAAAGGGTGACAACATGTTCCAAAGCTCGTACACTTAAACTTAGTAACATAAAATTTGAAAGTAATACCAAGAGTAGGAAACTGTCAGAAGAAAAAGTGACCACTAGAGTAAAATCTTTCCAAAGTCAATACATCAGTCTGAAAAGCCGAATCAGTCCTTGTGTCCGTACATCCGTCGAGGTTGTGGCTGGTCGGGCCGTGGGCGACGTGTTGGGCTAGAGGCTGGCGCCGGGCGGGCTAGCCACTCGTCAGTTGAACAGGTCCGCGGGGAAGTTGTTCACCTCCGCTTGCTCCAACACTGGGTTGCCGTCCACGGTGTACGACACTCGTATCCTTAGTCTAAGTGGTGTCTGAAAATTAAACAAGTCTTTAATCAACAACCTATTATACGTTATAATGCTGAGTACGGGTCTCATCTCAGGTTTCCAAGGTTTTTTTTACGAGTCACTTAATGGGAGGTGGTCATCGTCGCCCATGGACATTTGCAACATCAGATAAGCTGCCTATGCGTTGTTAGCCTTTGAGAGCCCTGCAAACACGCTTTTTGCAGAACCCCATGTCATCGCGCAAAGGAAATACTTCAGGAGAGAGATCATTCCACATCTTGCATTCCACATCATGCTTGCGTGGTCTTACAATGCCAGGCATCTAAGATATGGGGATAGACTCTACTCTTTTGGCGGCAGGTGCGATGATAGAATCGAGACGGTCGCACCAGTTCGAAAAGTTTCCCAGAGTACTCCCCGTTATAAAGACGGTAGAACACACACAGAGAACCAACGTCTCTCCGTAGGCTAAGGGGTTCCATACATAAATTCATGATCAGGGATCATCCTAGATTATTTTTAAAAGGGTGACAGTTCATAAAAATCTACAAAATATAACCTCGTAACAACGTACACTAAATTACGAATTTCATAAACTACACATAAATCTTTAAGTAAATGTACATTAAATTAAAGTAAAAATAACACCAAATCAATTATTTGTGAGAAATGAGCGGAAAAAAATTTCTTCAAAAATTATACATTTTTTACGTTAACGTCAATTACACCGCATTTGCTAGAGATGAAGTATATTGATAAAAAGTTTTCGATAATTTAATGAATAAAGTGAGTGCAGTGAGTGCGGTATTCTTCAAGTATGAATTTTAATCATAGGCAATGAATTAACATACCAGTGTTATTGCTTTTTCGGGACCTATAAATTAAGGATATGATGTTCCTTGAAATTTTCTAAAATATCTATGAAATTTACTTTCCATTATAGTTGTGTGTTTCATGCCTTTAATATAATACCAAACACTTCACATATCTATACTTTGTCAAAAAATAAAACAATAAGGGAGATCTATTGCTTCAAAATTCAAATACAATAAAAATATCGCGATGACATCTGTGTCAAGCGTCTCAAGAACCTTGAGGCACCGAGTTTTTCAATTTTATGGCTTCTGGTTGACACAGGAGTTACACAAATAGTGTACTGCTGTGTTTACCGATCGCACAGTGGAGATCAGGAGACGACCAAGCTGTTCCAATATCTAAGTGAGACGTCTGATGAGATTCAGCATAGGTACCCAGCGGCGCAACTAGTCATTCTGGGGGACTTTAATGCACACCATCAAGAATGGTTGTTCCCATACCAGAAGACCGATCACGCTGGGAGAGAGACGCGTAAACTTGCGTTAACGCTAAGCTTATCCCAGCTTGTCAGTGGCGCCACTAGGATACCAGATGTTGAATCCCATACGGCTAATTGCTTGGACCTTCTGCTGACAACTGATCCGGACCGATACTCTGTGGTTGTGGAGGCCCCACTGGGTACTTCCGACCATTGTCTGGTGAAAACTGTATCCGTATACTCCCCACCCGATCAGGGCCCTAGTGGTATGAGACGGGTGTGGCGATACAAGTTAGCAGATTGGGACGAAATGCGCCATTTCTTTGCGTCATATCCCTGGCAGGCGTGCTTTACTTCAGGAGACTCGTCGAGCTGTGCTGATGCTGTAGTCGAGGTCTTGCGTTTGGGTATGGAGTATTACATTCCATACTCTGATGTACCCAATGGACCCCAAGCTCGTCCATGGTTTAACGCTAATTGTAGTTGTGCTGAAGCACGTAAACAGTCCGCGTACCAAGCTTGGGCAGATGCTCGACTACGCAAAACTCCGAGTACTCAGAACATGAAGAAAGCTTTTAATAAGGCCGCCAAGAAGTGCAAAAGCATGTTACGTAGGACCAAGTTCGACCATGTGCGCCGCATAGGAGCCAAGCTTGCCTCTTATCCAGCAGGCAGCAAATCCTTTTGGTCCCTGGCCAAAGCGGTCGAATCGAACTTTTGTCGCCCATCTTTGCCACCTCTGCTGAGGCCGGATGGTTCGCTGGCTCATACTGCGGAAGAGAAGGCGAATCTCTTTGCCTCACTCTTTGCAGAAAATTCGCGTCTAGATGCCGCAGGGACCCTACCACCTACTTTACCTCAGGCTGGCTGCACTATGGCGCCAGTTCGCATACGCCAAAAAGAGGTACTTAGAACTCTGCGAAATCTAGACGTGAATAAAGCTAGCGGGCCAGATGGAATTCCAGCAATAGTCCTGCGTAACTGTGCACCTGAGTTGTCTCCTGTTCTCACACGCCTGTACCGCCTCTCACTTGAGACTGGTGTAGTTCCCAGGTCGTGGAAGCTTGCAAACGTGCAACCTGTACCAAAAAAGGGAAGCAGAGCTGACCCTGTCAACTATAGACCTATCTCAGTCACTTCCATACTCTGCAAGACTATGGAACGTGTACTCAACAACCGTCTCCTATCGTACCTTGAAGACAACGATCTCCTCAGTGATCGCCAGTACGGATTCCGACGAGGGCGATCTACTGGGGATCTTCTTGTGTATGCCTGTCACATATGGAGCGAGGCTATAGAAAAGCAAGGCGAAGCACTTGCAGTGTCTTTGGACATTTCTAAAGCCTTTGACAGGGTCTGGCACGCAAGCCTTTTAAGCAAGCTTCCCTCTTATGGGCTTCCCACTGACCTTTGCAATTGGATCTCGGATTTCTTGAGCGAACGTTCGATTCGAGTGGTCTTAGAAGGCTACTCTTCCGAACATATGGCGATAGATGCCGGAGTTCCTCAGGGTTCCGTACTGTCTGCAACTCTCTTTCTGCTGCATATCAATGATATGTTAATTCCAGGTACCTTTGCGTATGCTGATGACAGCACAGTTGTAGATAGGTACTTGACCAATGCAAGGGTCAGTGGAGAGGAAATCCAGTCTTGTCGAGAGTCCATGGTTAGCCGTTTAGATTTGACACTCCAGGCAGTCTCCGATTGGGGCAATGCCAATCTTGTCAAATTTAACGCTACCAAAACGCAGGCGTGTCTATTCTCCACAAAACGGAGTCCCTTTGAGCTGACTCCGACTTTTCGTGATATATCCATACCGATAGCCGATTGTCTCCAGCTACTTGGAATGGACCTGTCGTCCAATTTGAACTTCGGCAGATACATTGAATCCACGGCCAAAAATGCAGCAAGGAAGCTTGGGATCCTTTCCAGGGTGAGGCGGTACTTTACACCGGGACAGTTGCTCCAGCTGTACCAAGCACAAGTCCGATCGTGCATGGAGTACTGCTGCCACCTTTGGGATGGCTCTGCGACATATCAACTGGCCACTTTGGATTCAATTGACAACCGTGCCAAGAGGCTTATAGGTGACTCGGAATTAGTGGAGGCGAAGCTGCAGAGCCTTGAACACCGCCGTAAAGTTGCCTGCTTATCGGTATTTTACAGGATATATCACGGAGAGTGTGCGATGGAATTACATGATTTAATTCCGCCTTCCCCTTTCCATCACCGGGGGACTAGGCGTAGGCTTGGGTTCCACCCCTATGTTGTGGATATTCCAAAGATTCGCACGAAGCGTTACGCTTCCACATTTATATGGCGAACGGCTATGGAGTGGAATTCCCTGCCTGCAGACTTGTTCCCTGAACGTTATAACTTGGACCTTTTCAAGGCGAGAGTGAATAGGCATTATTTAGGTGTGCATGCTCCATCGTCGACCTCATCGTCACTTTCCATCAGGTGAGATGGAGGTCAAATGCGCACCTATATTTTATAAAAAAAAAAAAAAAAAAAAAAAATATATCGACTTTACCTCATCTCTATGACAAATGAAGTGTCACAGGTATCATCCTAATTTGCGTTTAGTATAATTATTAAATATTATTATTAGTTTTAAAGAATATTTAAACAGACTTAATAAACTGAAATGACTTACTCTGGATGGATTGGTGATTTTAAGTACTTGCGTGATCTCGCCTTTTGGTGACAGCACCGTGCCTGACGGTGACATCATATCTAATCGGAATGTCTGAAAAACAAGAAGTAAGGTTTACTTGTGTCAGAAGTGAGTTCAGTAGCAGTAGTGCTTCTTGTGAAAGAAAAGTGATGAGTTCATCAAGGAAGTACTGCCACTTTATATATTTCTGCTGCCAAGCAATAATGTAAGCATTAATGCTATCCGGTTTTGAAGGGTAAGAGTGCTGGTGAAATTACAAGCACATGGGACTAGTCAACTTATGTTTCAGAGTGACGGGCGAAGAGCACTGTGCCCCTCAGATATTTGTGTTTTAAAGCTCTGAGTGGCATTGCTGGCAGAAATAGGTAAAGCGGTAGTACTTCCCAGAAAGAACTATTTCACAAGCTACGAAAAAGTTTTTTGTGTTTAAAATCCAAAGCAACGTTCGTTTGTTGCAGTGGATTGACCGTTAATTCTGTAGTTGTAAGCTCACCCTTGGCACGGCGGCCTGGAACAAGAAGTCGGTCAGCGTATGGAGCTGTGAGACAGCGCGCATGGTCAATGTTACGGTGTCACCGCCTCGGAGAGCTTCCAGCACCACGCGGATACCGTTCTTCTCCAGCGCAGTTACTGTTATTGTTTCTGATGCTGCAATTGAGACATTAGGGTTACGTATTGGTAGCATTCGAGCAACATGTATCGGACTTTCATTTGTAAGTTACGTAGGATGTTTAATAGCAATATCTCTAGCCAGTGTTGGGTCATGGAAAAATTTCCATTTTGAAAAAATCAAATTTTTCAGAAAAATAAATCTTTTTTTTTTCAGATAGTTTTCCTTTCATTTTCCACATTTGACGATGACACCTATCAAAAGTTGAAGTTACTCAACGAAAATATGGTAGTTAGCGGTTTTTCTTCGCTGTTGTAAAATCATTTTAAGTCTCGTTTTTCTTTGTGTTGCTTTAGCTATACAAGTTTATTTTATAATTCACGCTAAATAAAACTTCAAAAGCTATTTCTAAATGTAGAACATAATACGAGCTGAAATTTTCCGGTAAAATTTCCACTATTCAAAATTTTTCGGAAAATTACCCAACAGTACCTCTAGCTAGCGCTACCTGCACGTCGTACAAAGTTGAATACTTGGAAAACGTGTGAAGTGTCCAACCCGCATTGTTCAAGGGTGGTATTAAGTTTATTTCAATAAATTTATTCCAATATAAGCTAGAGATCTTGTGTAACTTGACATAGTTTAATATACCCGTTTTTATGGCTTTTCTGTTTTGTGAAATCGATACACTGGTAATGCTTAAAGATTTTATCTTTTGGCGGCCATTTATAAAAAATATCCTTTAGTACCTAGCGTTTGCGTGGGCTGAGGCCCAAAGAAGCCATCGAGGAGCGAAGAGGGCGGCGCGTTGTTGTTGACGATGCTAGCCGGGGGCACGCCTGTCACGACTGTGCCGGTCAGACCTGTCAGACCCGCCACATTGGTCATGCCGCCGCCACTTGTCGGCGTTAGCTCTAGCCCACTCAGCAGATCGAGGATATCCTGCAAATAGTAATTTTACCATATTTCTAGGCAACAAATATATAGAAAATTGATCTTGTTAATGTTAGTAATTTCAAATATTTTTGTATCTTCAACAATGAATTCTGACAAAAGCAACAACGTAGAGTGTTGCAACAAAGTAAATTGAAAACATTAAATAACTATACTTTGTTTCAATACATTTTCAACAAAATGTAAAGAAACAAGTCACTGACCTGACCATAGACGGTTTAGTAATGACTAATTGTAATGCCAACTACAAATCGATTAATTAATTGAATGAATCGATTTGTTTAATTGAGTCATACTAGCGGGTTAACAACCTAATACAAACGATGTCAAAATTGAAGATATATAGTCCAGAACCTCATGAAATGTCAATAAAAATTTATAATAAACTCCCAGAATATTTAAAAGCGGAATCAAACATAAAGAAATTCATAAACGCGTTGAAAAAACTATTAGTTATTAAAAGTTATTACGATGTGGTCGAGTATGTCCATGATAAATTATAATGAATGTCTGCCCATCAAGAGACCTGTCAAGGTGCGTGAGCTTGTTAATGTATAAGAATATTCATAAGTATATTTTAGTAACGACAACACATGCAAAGCACTTATAAATACTGAAGGACTTTGTTTCCATGGCCAGCAATAAATTAAAAAAAAAACTTATAAATAAATAAATTACATTGGTGTTATTGTTGGCGGGCTGCGCAGGCACCGGTGTGTGCTCTACGTCGCCGTTCGTCAGCGAGTCAGAACCGATTATCAAGTCCAGCAAAGCATCCTGCGACGACGGCTGTTCAAATAAAAATACAAGTAATTGACATATTGCAATATTAATGTTATTGAATATCATAACGGTTTTACTACATGATAAAATATTTAGTTTTTTTTTTGTGAAAATATTACTTATTATTATTGACAAAAGATCGAACAATAAAAAAAATAATTTCTTCGATCGGAATGGACTCGAACCAGCGTCTGTTGCCTCATCGTGACTACCGCTCTTACCAGCTAAGCTTTTTCTTTGATTTTGTTTTTTTTCTATGACGCTATGACGACACGAAGAAGTCGTGTGCCTAGTGATCCACACCAGTTGCGTTGCCACTAAGAGCTTTAAATCGCAAAGATCTTAGGGGCATTGCCACTGCACCTGTCACCCTGATCACAAGGAGCTCTACTGCCACTAAACTGCTCGATTTTTATATTAATATTTGACATGAGTTTGAACTTTTTTGTTTGTGCACTGCAAATCCAATATATTCTTTTCAAAGTGCCTGTACCTGATGCTGGCTGAGGGTATAGCTGGAGAGAGCATCGGTCTCCTGCATGGCGTCTGGCTCTGTGGCGTCGTCGCCAGCAGCGTTGCCTCCCGTTCCCGGGGCCTCCATCGGCGGCATACGCTCCAGCAGCGCAGGGCGCAAGTGCGCGTATTGTCTGTACAACCACAACATATACGACCACTTCAACGAATATCTGATAACGTACAATATAAATACTAAAAACGAGGTACAATAGCTTCTTTTCGTTACGTTAATTAATTTTCATCATACTTGCTCGTGAATGGTATGATTACATGGTGGCTAACTTGACTATAATGCTCCAAATAAAACTCACGGGCCTTTTTTCTTTACATTACATACATGGTCGGTATGGAGCTTTTTTTTAATTTGCAGCACGACATACTTCCTTACTTAGGTCAGGTTCAAGTTCAAGCAAGGAGGTTACTTAAGTTCAAAATTAAAACATTCGCTTAAAATGTTTAATTGCAATTCAGCCACATACTACTTAAATACTTGTTAAAAAATTTCTTATAATTGATTTAAATTATTTTCTGTACAAAATCCATCATGGCTGTATATTTGTTAGTTTTTTATCTATAGAAGAATTAAAAAAAAAAAAAACACCTGCCATTTGCACATTCATAATTATTGTGTTAAGAACATATTCATATTATATTATTTCCTGGATGGCAAAAAAATACAAAACTCGAGTTATTAATGCCGTTCCTCGTGACTTTGGACATTGTAAACTCATGGTAGGGGAAGTTAACTACAACATTAACAACACTACCCATAAATATAAATTACCTGTAGAGTTGGGAGAGCTCTACACCTCTTTGTTGGAGTTCAATATGGATGTGAGAACCGAATGTGTCGATGATTACTCGGATTTTGCTGAAATTAAAAAAATATATCATTATTGTCATCATCATCAACAATCCAATTTACGTTCCACTGCTAGGCACGGGTCTTATATTACAGAAAACTTTATAGCTCTATACTCTAAAGTCTATGTTTGTTTTTGTTAGTTATTATTAGAGAACTAAGTATTTGCTACACCCCAACAGGCTATTTATTACCTGTATAATGCCTGTACTATACTCCGTCCAACCATTTAACTTTTGACATATGCTTGCCTCCGAAGTTCCGTAATTATTGATATACAACCATAGACAAAAAATGCAATACTTCCTTCATAGACTCTTTTATTTTTTAATTTTACTGATATGCGTTTTAGCTCCGATATTTATCGAGCCAACCGATTATGTAACGAAGATTATTCAAGTTGATACATTTTTGTGCCTGTCTAATAAATTATAATGAAATGAAATAAATTCTTAATAATTATAATAAATTCTTATTGTTTATTACAACGAATCGTCGGATTCTTCTCCATATGAACGGGAATCATCACTTGAACCCTCATTAACATTAATTATTAATTCTTCTGTACTATTGTACAACGCAACATCACGATCCCACTCAGACAATATCTGCTTTTTTGAACTCGCTCACATTCACTATTAAAACTTCTTCATAAATAAAATCGATTGTTATAATATTCCGAATCGAAAACGCATTAGGACATCACTAATTGATTAGAATTCCAGCTGTCAAAAGTTAAATAAATGGTTGTACGGAGTATAACATTGTTTGCACTAAATAAATAATCAAACAAATTTTCCAGACAACTCCCGTCGAAGCGAGATGACAAAAAAAATATCAAGATCCCACTCACTCCTGACTGGGCTGCGTGGTGAACCTAGTGGAGAGTTTGGCCAGCGAGAGGAGCAGGTACTCCTTGCTGGCGATAGACAGCTGCGTCGACCACAGCAGCTTCTGGTACACGTCGATCACGTACTCTTCTGACGGCTGCGTAAAGTCGTCTGTGAACGTGTGAAGTGGTAAGTTTATAACGCCAGTTAACCTTTCCATTCATGTGTTAACTCTCTAAATATATGCTGCCTAAATAAATCGTAGTAAGAGAGAAAAAAAGAGAGGGGGAAAAGCTTCATTTAAAACTTCGTAGATAAAGGCTTTATAAAAATAAAATAAAGCCGATAAAAATCCCTACTTCGGCTAATAAAGGCTGCTTCGGAATTTAATTCTATCGAGAAAATGTAACGTTGTGTTTTCCAAAATACCGATAACACAATGAATAGTCAAAAAACGTACACATTAACGCCAAGTTTACAGGGGAGCGTTAAGTTTTGAACTCACTGAAATGGGTATAACACGTGACTTTAGCATAGAAATGCTAAATTAAATTGTAAAATGATAAAATAAATTGTGGTTGTTCATGGTCATCCAACCCATATCTAGGACTTTATAATACACAGTGTGAGTTTTGTCGAATAAAACTGAGAAATAAAGTCACGTTATGCTCATTTCAGTGAATTCAAAACTTTAAAACGCTCCCCTGAAAACTTGGCAATTTCGACTTACGATACTTTACGTAAGGAGGGGTCGAAATGGCTGTTATTTTCTTTTATTAATTGCAAACATTATAGTGTGTACATTCGTTTTAAAGTACAACAATTAATAAGTAAAACATTCCAAATTAAATTATAAAATGCATACTCATCATACTAAATTTATAATCTACTGTAACCCGTATCATGCAGACAGTAGCAGTAGAGCTATTTGTGAAAGAATTCGTCCAGGGAAGTACTGCCACCTTAACTATTTTTGCCGCCAAGCAGTAATATGAGCATTAAGAAAGGAACCTAAATTATAGAATCTTCATAGTAAAGCTATACAGTTTAACCTAATGTGTAATTGCGATGCATAAACTAAGTAAATGTGTATCTGTAATCTAGGCATCTTTTTGCGCAAATTTCTTTATATTGCTGTTAAAACAATTTGTTATATTTAATAATAAAAGAATTAGTAGTTATGAATTAATGGTTATATAAAAATAATTATGAAACAACTTCCAGCAAGCCCTCTGTTTCAATGTAAGTTTTACTCATAAGCCAGAATTAGACGGGTTCTTTCACATTCTATTTTATTCGTGACGAAATAATGCAAAGCAGAATTTAATTTAAAGTAAAGGAATGTAGCAAGGACGCAAAAGAAGCAGTGGCAGTGCCCCTTAGATCTTTGTAATTTAAAAAGGGTCAGGCGTGTCGCTACCACCACCACCACTACCACCAGGCGCACGACTTGTTCTTCTCGTCACTTAGTACTACAGAAAAAAATTTAGGCCGCACGAAAGGAGCCTTTAGGCATTTGGTGATGAAGCCCCATGTCGTGACTCTGTCTATTCGTGGTTCAGTGAATTTAGACGTGGACTTACGTGATCATCTCCACGTGAAGGTCGGCCGGCGGCTGCGGTTACCGAATTTAATACTGACACCGTACGACAACTGATTAAAACTGACAAAAAATTACTTTTCAGAGAATTCGTACTGTATTAGGCATTGGAATGAGTCCGGTGTAAAAGATATTGCACGTGCACCCCGCACAACCTACCATTTCTTTCATGTACGTCGGGTACACCCTGGGCAACAATCGACGAGTTCATTTAGCCAATTGGCAAATCTTTTCACGGTGGCAAGCATTATAGTTAGTGTATGCCATCGATACGATAAGAAGAAAAATGCAGATATTTGAATGTAGTTGACATCGAGTATATATATAACCAGAAATAGAAGCGAAATGTCATTTAATTTATTTAAAAACTATTCTGCCATATCATTACTGTGACAACTGCGCTCCGATTGGCTAGCCCGAGTTCGAAACAATTGACGGGTGTCGTCAACTGTTTCAACGGGTTCGTCAATTGTTTTTGTTGTTGCTATAATGGACGAAAATTGTAAAATTACACATATTTAATATTTAGTTACCGATGAAATTTGACACCACCAAATGAAACAGCACGCCATTGTTAGAGATATTATCTTTATACAATAAATACAGAATATTTTTGGAGTATACGGAGACGTACACACAGGTCGATTGTTGGCGTTTCTATATTTCAGTGCAAACGAGAGTTGATGTTTATAAATGATGTACCTATCATTGATGAGTTACCAGGAATGTATACCTTATTTCGTCTCTATTTCTGGTTATATACTCGATGGTAGAAGAAGACGCTATGATATCACGGCAAGGTCAAGTTAATAGTTTTCTCTTAACGCTGACTTTTAAAAAACACTTAATGTAAAGAAAGGATACTCACCGACTCCATCTTCGTCGACCATAGAAATGGCTGCACTCGCATCCGAGACCAACAGATCTCCGTATTCACCGATCGTCCACGCAGCCACCTGGTTAAATTGGAAATGTGTGCATATTGATACTAAATATTTCACAAATTTACTTCAATAAATTTTTGTTGAATAGATATTCAATTATTTTTTGTGAAATTACTCCACTAGTTTGTTGTAATTATTATTAGAAAGATCGAACACTTACAAAAAAATTCCTGCGATCCGGCCGGGTTCGAACCGACGTCTCCTAGCAAACCGTCCTAGACGCTATGCTCACTATCTTCTGTATTTCTAATCTCCTAGATTTCTCTTAGATGGCGTTACGTCTAAAAGGTCGTTGAAATCTAAATATAAAGATCTGACAACAAGCACGCAGAAAAATTCGTGGTTCGTATCGTGGCTTTGTTGGCATAGCGTCTGGCACGGTTTGCTAGAAGGTGTCGGTTCGAATCCGGCCGGATCGAAGGAATTTTTTCTAAGTGTTCGATCTTTGTATTAATAATTACAATAAATTTACTTCACTTAGAAAAAAAATCCAGGTATTAAACATTCAGAATTGTACGTAAGAGCGATGCTACATGATGCGTCGAGTCGGCGTTACGACGCCTGAGCGGTGACGCTGCGTTGTACTAATGTTATTATCAGTGATCGCAGTTAATCTACTTAAAGTATGAAAGTTTTATACCCATTTTTTATAATATTATAAAATTTCTTTTTTTTACTGTTTATATTCTAAACAGTTTAAAATACAGGTCATCTGTTGTATATTTTTTAAATATCTAAAGTATTCAAAGACGTAAGTACATATAGAAACACAGCAAAAATAATATTTTTGGAGACAATAATTGGTAGCAAATACTTAATAGGAAATAATAAATTGTCGCCAATGTCCTCAAAATTCAATAAATAATAATCGTATTCAAATATAACCACTTCCGAGAAGTCTCGGGATTTGCACAAGGCATAGTTTCCCAAAGTGTTTCCTACCGCCCCCTAGTGGCACTGAAGAGTCCTAGGGGGCGGTAGGCGCCTCGGAAGCAATTAGGAGGCGTTGATGCTGTCCAGGGGGTGCTACCGCATTTCAAAAACCTGAATTATCTATATAAAGTACACTACATATACAAGATTTTTTTGTGAGGTAATATCAAAAATACTTGTTTCAATTATTTTTTGTGGTGGAGGGCGTTGAAATTTTTTATCTTACCTGAAAGGGTATAAGGGAATGTCCACGTTTTTCTTTAGTTTAGTTCACTTTTATCACTGATTATTATTATACATGCATGCCACAGGTTGCATTGAAACGGTGTGTGACGACGTAACGCGTGCGCCTCGGACAAAGGGCCAGGAGACAAAGTGGGGAGGAATGTTAAGTGTTACTTTGCGACACCGCATAGATCGTATGTCACTCAGTGCGTTGATCATAGCATTGCGACGCCTGTTTGGCATCTCTCGGAATCTCTCTTACTCGGAAAATACATAGGTGCATTTTTTTTATGTAAAGGAGGCAGACGAGCCACTTGATAGGAGGTGGACATCGTCGCCCATGATTGTGGAAAGATCTTTCAACACACCTTCCAGGTTCGAGAAAGAAACGAACGAGACGACCGCGTGGTCTTACAATGCCAGGCATCTAAGACGTGGGGATGGATTGTACTCCTTTGGCGGGAGGTGCGATGGTAGAAACGAGACGGTGGCACCAGTTCAAAAAGTTCCTCAGAGCACTCCCCATTATAAAGACGGTAGAACACACGCAGAGAGCCAACGTCTCTACGTAGGCTAAGGGGCTCCATACCGTCTGTGAGTTTGAGATCATCGATAATACGAACAGCCCTATGTTGGATGGAGTCAAGTAGATCAAGCTGGTATTTGGGAGCTCCAGCCTAGAGATGCGAGCAATACTCCATATGGGGCCGTACTTGTGTTTTATATAACAAAAGTCGGTGACCTGGAGAGAAGTACTGCTTCGCTCTATTGAGCACTCCGAGGTTTTTTGAAGTCAGTTTGGCTTTGCTTTGCTCATGCTTTGTGCATGACGCCACAGCATTCGAATCGTCTACCGTTCGCTATCACAGTAGTAGTGTAGGTATCCGACGGAATTAAGTTGCGTACGTTCATCGACTTACCTTTTTCAAATATTTAGCTTCACCGCTGCTAAATTATTTTCTAGTCTATATCGTACTAACCTGCACCAAGGGTTGCTTCTCAGTGGCGTCTCCATTGACGGCACATCGCTCCAGTGAGGTCCAAAGCCGCATGGCTGCGTAGGCCTGCCGTTCGGCCGCAGCCGACGACACGATCTGGATGGTCGACGACACCGTGTCGTCGCGCACGTAATTGCCCGCCTAGGAAATCACACCAATTATTTGTTACTATTATTTTTGATACAAAGATCGAACAACACATAGAAAAAATAGTTCCATCTGGATTCGAACCAGCGTCCGTTGCCGCACCGGGGCGAACGCTTTTACCAACTGAGGTACAGTTTTGTGTTACTAATAATAACGAACCAGTTGAGTATTTTTAACCGAGGAGGTATATGGACTGTATGTTTTTTTTGTATGTATTTGTGAATCGATTTTGATGATTCTTTTTTTTGTTGGAAAGGGAGTACGATCAGATGTGGTCCCATTTAAATTCGAAGAACATATTCCACCTCTAAGAGTGGCAATCTAGGGGATGAATGACTTTGAGGGTCAGTTTTTTCAGTACTCTGTACTGTTTTTTTTATCACGGTTTGTTTTATTTTTGGTATATTTATTATGTTTTGTCAAAAGTCACTAGACTAAAGTTGCAGTTTTGCCGTTAGTAATACCTGGGAGATTGTTAGTATTTTACAAACAACCCCGCATAGCATTACATTTGAATGAGATATTTTCATTACAATGTACGTTCACATGATCATAGGAATAAAATTGTCTGGATCTGAATTACTTCACATATTATGCAAATTCTGATGAACAAGACACCATCTTGGGAGGTTAAGAGTGGCAAGGTCAAGTCTGTACAGCTACAGTTACCTTAAGCAGCACCCTGAATAACGTATCAAGATGCCACTTGTTCGACGGCGCGTATCTCTCAGCGGCTAGAACCATGGCACTAGAGCAATGTGCTTTGAACTCTGCGTCGGAACGTTCTAGGAAGGTGAGTAGCTCTTTCATCATGCTTCGTATGTTCTGCCCGTTGATAAGCGCGAATGACAGCTCCATTGCGCGCCGTCTGATCGACACGTCGGGGTCCTGGGAAATTACAGCAGTAATAAGGAATTTGTGATTTAGAAATTTACTAAAATATCAATTGAAATTGCATTTGAATTATAGTTGTGTTATATGCCTCCAATATTCTGAATACGTCAGAAAAATAAAACTATAAGAGAGAACATTTGCTTTAAAAATCAAATGCATTAAAAATCTATCGATTTTACCTCATCTCTACGACAAATGTCAAATGAAGTGTCACAGGGATCATCCTAGTTTGAGTTTAGTATAATCCGATTAGAGATATTATTGAGAGATTAGATAGATATTATTTGCATACATACAGGATGTTGACTTGACCAATTAATTTCGTGATCGATTACAATCTGCTCGTCAAAATGATTAATACATTTTTATCGATTAATGTTATTATTATTGATTATCCAATCCTTTCAAATACGAAATAAATCTGTTGATTAATATGTTATTATCTATTTGACCAAATTATGTGGAACAGTGGGATGTTTTTATTCGCAATTTAAAAGGGGATTTGGTAGTAATAATTCTTCACGTTGATGTGATTGACTCCGTTGACGGAATCAACTTAACAAATATTATACTTTGCAGTGGTTGGAGGTCCGTGTGACTCGGGGTCAACGGGTTAACGTTAAAAGGAAGAAAACTCTCAATACTCGTAATTTCACATACAAATAGGCTGTATAAATAAAATCCTTATTTGATTATTTTCAACTAATTTTAGGAGCGACGTTCGGATACGCGTTATTTGGAATAATAGAAAAAAACTAATTAGGTCGTTACTCGAAAGTGCTACAACATAAATCATGTTCATAATTAATTAATCATTTCTTTTTCTGATGTCAAAAACTGCTAAAGGAGAATCTTCATTAAATTGCCATTCTTAATAACTTCAATGGTGTGATTGATGTACGTATATTTTGAAAATTAAAGTTAGGTCTAACTGCAGAATTCCACATATCGTATGTTCAAAACAGTACAGTCACTAATGGTGATTTCGCTTTTTCCAATTTAAATGTTATGTCATAAACTTCAAACTCCATCTTCCAAAAATTTACTTTTTCACATTTAAAAAAAAATCATATTAAAAATCTCTTCACAGCCGCCCGCTGTAATTAAATTTAGTGTGCTGTGAAATGATTTTGCTAAAAAAAAATAAAAAATTTGTGTTCAAGCTAGTTTTCCTACCTATGGAAAGTAATTGATGAAATTAGTAAGCGATAGTTGAACGACTTTAAATCTGTCATTACGAACACGTAGCACTAGTGATGTGTTATTGATGGTAAGAGTCATTTCTTTGGCAGCAAGTTTTTATGGAGAGTACTTAAGCAAAACCATCGAGTATATAACCAGAAATAGAGACGAAATGTCATTTAATTTTATTGAAAACTATTCTGCCAAATCATTACTGCGCTCCGATTGACCAGCCCGAATTCGAAACAATTGACGGGTGTCGTCAATTCTTCCACGTCAAATTGACCAGTTTAACTTAAGCTTTGCTATAATGGACGAAGATTGAACAATTACATATTTAATTACCGATGAAATGTGATCCCGTTTGTTTTGTAATTAGAAGTTTTGCTGGTTTTCCCACACCACCGATTGGAACAGTCCCCCATAGTTATCTATCTAGAGATATATCTTTATTACAATACAGAATATTTTTTCAAAATGCGAAGACGTACACACAGGTTAGTTGTTGGCGCTGTACTATTTCAGCTCTCTAATTTGTGATTTCAGTGCAAACGAGAGTTGATATTTAAAAGTGATATAAGGCATTTGCCTGATGAGGATAGGATGGATGGCCCTTATTTCGTCTCTATTTCTGGTTATGTACTCGATGAGCAAAAGACAATGAAAAGGCTGGTTTTAAGACTAAACTTAACATACCTTCAAACATTCCAAAATAGTAGTCCTATGTCTCTGCACAGCAGAGTTATCAACGTGTACCGTCCGTAGCAAAGTATTTAACGCCACGTATCTGATGTTCTTATCATTATTCAACAGGAATCTTCCCAAAATGTTAATAGCCAATACTCGCAAACTGCTCTCGGACTTGATGTCCATGATAGACAGGACTGTTTCGTATAGGATCGTGTTGCCAACGTTTTTGCTTGTCTCCGTGTTGGTGGCGACCTGGGCGAGTATGTCGTTCATCGCTTCCGACGCTTCCGCGTCGTTTTTGCCTAGTATCCGAAGGAGACGGAGGATTTTCACCTGTAATTCGAGGATTGTGATTGTAGAATTTATAGAACAGACGGAAACACTGACTGAGATTTAGAAGATGATATTTGATAAAAAACTTTGACTTCGACGAAATAAAAATGGCGAGCTAAGCAAGGATTTCGTATTAACAAAACATACTTTGCCTAAGTTAAAGCTAGAAATGAAATAAAATGTTCAATTTATTTTGTAACATTTTGAATAGAATAGAATAGAATAGACATTTATTGCAACGCCACAACACATAGATACAAAAAAAAATATTGATACTACTTAGACAAGCAAAACAAAACAAAAAGACGTAATAAACAAAATTAAAATAAAATGAAATAAGACAATAACAAACAAAGAGCAAAACAAAAAATACTAAATATAACAACTACAAATGTTGTACTGTCATGTGTGCGGTTGTGGCGTATGCAAAAGGACTTCATTCAGCTTATGCCACAGCCGCAATTGACTGTGGCGTTTTGCTTAGTGTCATAGCGGTTGCTTTGGGAGTATTATATAAGTGATGTATTCAAGCACTGGAACTTCATACACATGAGTTAATTATAACATTGAATGTCGCAAATAACCTGCACTTATTTAAATTATTTTTGAAATATAGTTTCGTTACCTGAAGGAATGGATCAGACACTCCGCTGACGTCATGTTCTGGAGAATACCCAGCTAGGATGAGGTTCTTGAGTATCCTAACCAGGTTCGGAACGATCTAAAAGAACAACATTCACTAAAGTACATTATATACAGGCTTTATGCGGTCCATTGATCGCCAATGCACACATTACAAAAGCCAAATCAAAAATCGAAATTTTACAGAACAAAATGTACTTCCAGGCAGATATGCAATCCTTTATGTAAATACTTTTTAAAAATCAGCCAATCAAAGAGTTAAATGGCGGGATCACTTTACAACAGCGGTATCTGGGTTTGGCTTCTTGTAAAAAAAGTGGTAACAAATTTCACTCAATAGTCACTATTTGTAGTGATATTAACATTTACAAATATTGCTCAGAATGTACAAAGTTTGGTGTGGAAAAGTAACACAGTGTAATATTATTATAATCCACTAAGGGCAAGTACAGACCCTTTTTAACTGAGTTCAAAAAAAGAGGTTCTCAATTCGACTGTATATATATTTTTTGTGTGTATGTTACGCGATTTTTACGTTTTTTGTGAACCAATTTTGATGATTCTACCTCTACACTTTCCGTTAACCGATTTCAATAAAACTTGGCAAATAGATGTAATTCCACGAACTTTTGTGGTCGGTTTTTTTACAAAAAAGTTATAATTATTGATGATGAAGGCTTACAATTATGACGGGAAAATCTTCTTAACATAGTTTTATTCACAAGTTCATGATATACGTTCTGATGTAATTAATAATAATAATAGTGTGTGGCACCCCTGGCAACCCTGTGTCGCGGGTGCCAAGGAGACACATATAGACAACCACAAATTACACCCAAAGTCACGAGAGAAATAAATGTATCAAATGAATCGAACCTGGGACCTCTGCGAGGCAGTCCGGCATGGTAACGGTTCGGCCACGGAAACAGATCAAGTCGAAATTGAAATTAAAAAAAAAATTCGTTTCAGGAAAAACGGTAAGTTATTAGAGTAATTAGCCGTTAAATTAACGCGCGCGTAATTACGCTCATTACAAGCGCCATGACGCGACTAATACCAGTCGAGTAATTTTTACTACAAATTGTTCTTAGCGCTACCTTCTATATTACAATCCAGAACAGAATTTATAATCCAATATACAAAACGTAATCAAATGAATCTGTTTGCCGGAAGTTCTGAATTAATGTTAGAATTTTAAACCATTGAAGATGACCCTTGGATTCTATAATTATAACTTTTTATATAAAAAAACCGACCTCAAAAGTTAGTGGAATTATATCTATTTGTTAGGTTTTATTGAGATCGGCTAACGGAAAGTCGGTGAAATCCAATAAACTGGATTCATACCCTAATTTGCCACCATTAGAGCCGGAATATTTTCTTCATATTTAAATGGGACCACCGTTGAGGTACCTCTTATAAACAAAAAAAAGAAAGAAAAAAAATCATCGACATCGGTTCACAAATGTCGGAAGAATCCCGTAACATAGACACAAAAAAAAATCGTCGAATTGTCGAATTGAGATCCTCCAGCCTTTTCTGAAGTCGGTAATTTTTATTACACCATGTTTAGTGTTCCGAAGATTCAATCTACTCAAGAATAGTTTTGTGCTGTATTGAAATCAAGAATAACGCATAGTATAAATATTGTTATAGTCTTGTTGACAGCAAACATTTGCAAATAATTCATTGCCCCAAACAACAATAGTCAAATGTTTCGCAATTACCTTTAAAGCCTACAAGGTATTAGCAAAATAGGGGGGGTATAGTAAAAAGGATCCAATTACATGACTGTATGTTTATTTGCACATTTGAAAATGTTTTAAAGGAAATTGCGAAGCCTTTGAATACCAGCGTGAACACGATACGTTTTATAACCAACACATTACATTCATGCTTCAGTGAGCTGTCTGATGACATTGCGGTTTTATTTAAATAACGTTAAATATTTCTTAATACTTTTTGTATTTTGTAAATGTAATAACATCTAAACGTTTTACCTATCGACAGACGATTACTTGAAGTATAAATGGATATGGTGTTTTTGTTTTTTTAGGATAAAAATAAGCTGGTATAATGCGTCATTCTACCAATTCTGCCGTCCACTAACTAAAACGCTGCTAAGTGACAAATGGTCAAATATCCGTTTTAAATAGCAAAAGATGGAGCACAAAATTCTCTTTTAAAAATAGTTAAAAGTAATTAACGTGTTCTAGTTATCGGAACTTACCCTAACGATGCATAGTTTAATATCATTAAACTATTTTAATATTCTGAAAACGGGGTTAAGGTTTTTATGATAACTCAAAAAAATACTTTTTCACTTAGCCGCTTAGTTTTTGTAACCAGTCGCCAGAATTGCACCCCGACAAATTATCAGCGTGTGGAAATATTTTAAGGGGAAGTGCATGTGGCGCATTTTTTTACAACACCAAGTAACGAAAAGAATACGTCACATGCGCGTGGTGGTAAGCGACACGCATGTCCATAACAGTTGCAGTGTCACTCAGCGTTTTAAATCACAAAGATCTGAGGGACCGCCATTGCGTCCGTCGCCCTGAGACATAAGCTGACAAGTCCTGTAATTTCTCCAGCGTCCTTGCCCTTCAAAACTGACACGCAGTAATGCTTATATTACTACTTGGCGGCAGATATAGGTAAGGTGGCAGTACTTCCCTGGACGAACTCTTTCACAAGCTCCATTGCAAGGTATCACAAGGAAAAATATAATGGCGATGCAGCACGGGATGGCCACTTAAGCCGCAAAACCGAGTGGAGCAGAAAAGTGCCAGTGTGGAGATGGAGGACTGGTACCAGAAGCGTCGACCGCCAGAGGGCTAAATGACGGACTATATAGTCAAAGTAACTCGAAAAACCTGGACGCAAATAACCAAAGATCGGAAATAATGGCGTGCAAACGAGACCTACACTCAGCAGTGGGTGAGTAAAGAAGACTTCAAAGTTGGATCTGTAAATCGTATGATACTCGTATTATCTATGATTATATTATATTAGTATATAAATAAATAAAAAAGGTAAGAAATGTTGAGCTAAGAAAAATCGTACGTCATACTGAGTTTCGAACTAAGACGATATGTCTTCGAAATCCTGTAGCAAATGACGTGGAAAGTCAAACTCAACAAGTTGGAAAGTTACGCCTATTTTGCATAACAAATTACACATTATAAATACGTCCGCGCATATAAAATAAGAAATGCAGAGCGGATATGCGGTCTATTGAGGATCCATTGTCGTCGCATTGTTGTTTAATAGGCAAACGTAGTGCTATAAGGATTTAATGTTAGGTGTATCGCATGTCGGTGCTACGAACTGTTTGGTAGTAATACACTATTGTGGTTAATATTCATCTTCAGGAATTCAGTTCAGAGTGTTTCCTTAAAGGCCCGTCTACACGGTTATGATTCCTCAAGAGCAAACTTGCGCAAGACATGTTCGCGTTTGTGTGTGTTGCGCAAAATTTGCAAGGAGTACTCCTTACCTTTGTCTTATACACTCCCGGACACATATATAATAGTAATATAATTTGAGCCAGCTTAAACAACACTCGTCGATCAAAAACTAATATACAATCTTGAAACTGGTATACAAACTCATTTCCATTAAGGCTGGGTAATGCTTGCGCGAGAGTCACATAGCAGCGCGGGATATTACTCTTCTTTATACGAGCTACTCCTAGCGCTTTATGTCGCTCTCGCGCAAGTCGTGCCATCTATACAGAAGTCCTTGTTGAAAATTAGAATTTTTAAAACTGGGAAATATTTTATCTTTGACGATAACAATATTTCTGTATTCTACACTTTGGCTCGAATTACGTACATGGGAGTGTACAACAACATTATCTGCACTAGTTTTACCACTGTAAAGGCTCGACCGTGTAGTCAGTCCTTAAGAGATTATTCAGTTCTTTACTTATGATATACGTAAAAATGGACGTAAATTCTTATGGAGTAGCAAACCCAGTGAAGGTTAAATATGCAAAATACTAATTCTCCGAGAAGGTACGCTGGTAAAATAAACTAAATGAAAAAACACTCAACAGAAGCGCAGCAATGTTGCACGATTACAATCCACAGGGTTTGCGGAATTGTAAATTATGACAACAAATATGAATTTTCACAAAGTAACACTTGAATCAATTGATTAAGTGGAAAATTATCATAACACCTCATATTTGCTTACGCGTGGTTTTGGAAGTATTAACTCCAACTTTAACGTAAAGGGGTTAACTCATCAATATAAACAACTATTTAAACATTTAATGTTTACCAAAAATATAACTTAGACAATGTGATCAGACAGTCACTAGCAGTGCATGGATCAACGTTTGTGATTACCTCGCGTTGTCCGCTTTCCTACGGAACAACACAAACATAATATTAGTGTCTGGACGCTTACTTTAGGCTTTCTATTTGTTTAAATATTACACAGCATTGCGGTAAATATCCTGAGCAGGTTGAATTAAATCTCTCGGAGTTTTATCTGGTCAAAATACTTCTCGCAAACGCAGATGGCAGTTTCACGGATATCTTTATTGTACTAAAGATAACTTTATCTAAGCCTTTTTGATAGAAAGATGGGATTTTTTACTGATAACTTTAGACAAGGTTATGAACGGACATATCGACTGTGAACTGGCAACCGGTACTCTCAACTTTAAAAAAATATCACTTTTTAATACCATTTTATACTCCGCAGCGTTGCAAGAAATTCCATTGTTTTTAATAGCATGTGTAATAAAAATATTTAAAACTATTTATTTTTATTTAATAAATAAGATGCTATATAAATGACGCCAACAAGTTTTTTCTTCACCCTGTAAAGTTGTCAAAATTGAGATAGTACCGGTTTTTAGGCTTTCGCGATTGTTACACCATTGGAAATAAAACTATTTTTTTTCGGATCTAACTTATTTGATTTAAGACCAACGATGTAAAAACCAAGGAATCTTTGCAGGGGCTCTACTCTCGAAGCACGAAATCCGTAGATATCAGTGGCGAAGCGTTCATATAACTCGATTCCCACCGGCTTGCCTAAAATATTCGGCGTACCTATTACCAG